GGTATTCCACCTAATCGCGATATTGATTTCTGTATTGACTTGGCTTAAGATACCCAGCCTATATCTATTCCACCGTATCACATGGCTCCGAAAGAATTGAAAGAACTGCTTGAGGAGTTACTAGCCAAAGGGTTCGTGAGACCGAGTGTATCGCCTTGGGGTGCACTGGTATTATTTGTGAAGAAGAATGATGGAACAATGTGGATGTGTATTGATTACCGCCAATTGAACAAAGTCACTATTAAGAACAAGTACCCGTTGCTGCGTATTGATGATCTATTTGACCAGTTACAGGGTGTTAGGTTGTTCTCTAAGATCGACTTGAGGTCAGGGTACCATCAGTTGAATATTCAAGATTTAGATGTTCCGAAGACTGCTTTTCGGACTAGATATGGTCATTATGAGTTTCTGGTGATGTCCTTCGGTTTAACTAATGCCCCGGCATTGTTTATCAATCTGATGAACAGGGTATTCAGGCCATATATTGATTCGTTTGTCATTGTCTTCATTGATGACATTTTGATCTACTCGCGCAGTAAGGAGGAGCATGAACAACATATGAGAGTAGTGCTTCAGACATTGCAGGAACAAAAGCTATATGCTAAGTTCTCTAAATGTGAGTTTTGGCTAGAGTCTGTAGCATTTTTGGGGCATATTGTATTGGGTGATGGTATTAAGGTTGATCCCAAAAAGATTGAGGCAGTTCAAAATTGGCATCGTCCCACTTCGCTGACTGAGATTAGGAGTTTTCTGGGTTTAGAAAGGTTATTTTCGTCGGTTCGTGGAAGGTTTTTCATCTACTGCAGCACCTTTGACCAAATTAACCCATAAGGATGCTCCGATCCGATGGTCTGATGATTGTGAAGTGAGCTTTCAGAAGCTCAAGACAGCATTGACTACAACACTAGTGTTAGTGTTGCCTTCCGGTTCGAAAATGTATACAGTGTATTGCGACGCTTCACGCGTTGGTTTGGGTTGTTTATTAATGCAGGAAGGGCAAGTTATTACATATGCATCACGTCAGCTGAAGCCCCACAAGCAGAATTATCTAGTACATGATTTGGAGTTAGCTGCGATTGGTCATGCTCTTAAGATTTGGAGGCATTATCTTTATGGGGTGTCTTGTGAAGTTTACATTGATCATCGCAGTTTGCAGCATTTGTTCAAGCAGAGGGACCTAAATTTGAGGGAGCGCAGATGGCTGTAATTACTGAAAGATTATGATATTACTATCCTATACCATCCGGGTAAAGCAAATGTAGTTGCAGGCACCTTGAGTAGAAAGGCGGAGAGTATGGGTAGTTTGGCTTTCATTACAGCAGATGAGAGGCCATTAGCTTTGGATATTCAATCCTTGGCTAACCGACTTGTGAGATTAGACATTTCAGAGCCCAGCCGAGTTCTTGCATGTGTTGTAGCTCAGTCTTCACTATTTGAGCAGATCAAGGCTCGCCAGTATGATGATCCACACTTAATGGTTCTTCGAGAAACGGTACTACGAGGTGGTGCCAAGGAAGTTACTATTGGAGCAGATGGTGTTCTGCGACTCCAGGATCGTCTATGTGTTCCTAATGTGGATGGACTGAGGAAAAAGATCCTAGAGGAAGCACACAGTTCTCGGTATTCTATTCATCCAGGTGCTACGAAGATGTATCGTGACCTGAGGCAGCATTTTTGGTGGTGACGAATGAAAAAGGACATAGTTGAGTATGTAGCTAGGTGTCTAAATTGCCAGCAAGTTAAATATGAGCACCAGAGTCCAGGTGGCCTACTTTAGTAGATGACTATACCAGAGTGGAAATGGGAACACATCATTATGGACTTTGTAGTTGGGTTGTCGCAGACCTTACGGAAGTTTAATGCAGTTTGGGTTATTGTCGACAGGTTGACCAAGTCGGCACACTTTATTCCTGTTGTGACTATGTATACTTCAGAGAGGTTGGCCCAGATATATATATCCAGGAGATAGTTCGGTTGCACGGTGTGCCAGTTTCTATCATATCAGATAGAGGCCCTCAGTTTACTTCACATTTCTGGAGAGCAGTTCAGAGTGAGTTGGGGACCCGTGTAGAGCTCAGCACAACCTTTCATCCGCAGACCGACCGGCAGTTAGAGCGGACAATTTAGATTTTGGAGGATATGCTCAGGGCATGTGTGATTGACTTTGGAGGTCAGTGGGATCATTTCTTGCCTTTGGCCGAGTTCACTTATAATAACAGTTACCAATCCAGCATCGAGATGGCTTCATTTAAGGCTTTATATGGTCGGCGATGTCGTTCTCCCATCGGGTGGTTTGAGCCCGATGAGGCTAAGTTATATGGTACTGATTTGTTGAAAGATGCCTTGGAAAAGGTAAATTTGATTCAGGAGTGACTTCGTATAGCACAGTCCAGACATAAGAGTTACGCGGATCAGAAAACGCGTGATTTATTATTTATGGTGGGTGAAAAAGTTCTTTTGAAAGTTTCGCCGAAGGGAATCATGAGATTCAGGAAGAAGGGCAAGTTGAGCCCAAGGTTTATAGGCCCATTTGAGGTGTTGAGACGAGTTGGGGAGGTTGCTTATAAGCTTGCATTTCCTCCCAGCCTATCGGGAGTTCATCCAGTTTTCCATGCATTTATGCTCCGGAAGTATCATGCCGACCTATCACATATGTTAGACTTCAGCACAGTTCAGCTAGATAATAGCTTGGGTTATGAAGAGGAGCCAGTTTCCATTGTTGATAAATAGGTTCGCCAGTTGAGGTCCAAGAGGATTTCTGCAGTAAAATTCCAATGGAGGGGCCAACCAGTCGAGGAAGCGACTTGGGAGGACGAGGAGAACATGCAGAGCAGATATTCACACTTATTCAGCACTTCAGGTATAATCCTAAACGTATTCGAGAACGAACGTTTCTTTTAGAGGTGGAGAATGTGATAACCCAAAATATCATCTTTAAATTTAATAACAAATTCTGTGTTCTAAGACCTCGAAAAGCACTATTTATCATTCATCGACTTGCGTGCGTAGCCTGTAAAATTTTCTGGAAAGTTTTTATGTGAAAATGGATTAAAATGTGAATTAGAGCTTTAAAACTCAACTGAGTTAATTTTGGTATACATTTTGAGTAAACGGACTCGGATCAGTATTTTGACAGTTTCAGTAGGTCCGTATTGTGATTTGGGACTTGGGCATAAGCCCGGAATCAAATTCTGAGGTCCCTAACCTGAGATATAGAATTTTGATAAAAAGTTAAAAGTTTAAGTTCAAATAGTGACCGGATATCGAATTATGTGCAAATGACCTCGGAATAGAATTTTGATGATTCCAACAGCTCCATATGGTTATTTTGGACTTAGGAGCGTGTTCGAAATGTTATTTGGAAGTCAGTAGTTAAATTAGGCTTGAAATGGCTAAAAATAAGAATTTAAGTTTGGAAGTTTGACCGGGGCGGGGATGTGATGACCCAAAGGGTCATCTTATGTTTTAAAACTCGAATCTGCTCTCTTAAGCCTTAAAAATCTCATTTTTACCCTCCTCAATTTGCGTGCGCAGTCCGGGCAGGTTTCCGAAAAGCTTTTATGTTGAAAACTAATGAAAATAAGAATTTTTACCTTAAAAGTTAATTTTAGTTGACTTCGGTAAATATTTTTGGTAAACGGTCCCGGATCCGTGCTTTACGGTCTCGGTAGGTCCGTATCGAATTATGGGACCTGGGTGTATGCCCGGAATCGAATTCGGAGGTCCATAGCTCAAGATATGAATTTGTGATGAAAATTAAAAGTTTGGAAATTATTTATTTTTAAGAATGGATTGATATTTGACATTGTTAGTATCGGGTCCGTATTTTTGTTCTGGAGCCCGGTACAGTTTCATTATGATATTTTTAGACTTGTGTGCATGTTTGGTTTGGAGCCCCGAGAGCTCGGGTGAGTTTCGGATAGGTCACGGGATGTTTTGGACTTGGGAAAGATCTGGTTTTCTGCAGATTCTGGTGTCTGTCATATCCTTCTTCGCGTTCAAGACGGTCCTCTCGCGAACGCGAAGCGTAATCTGATGAGGCTGAAACTTCTTCTTCCAAACGCGAAGAACTGGTCGCGAACGCGAAGTGATGGGGGGATTTACCCTTCGCAAACGCGACCGGCTCAACGCGAACGCGAAGCACTTGGGGACCTGGGGGAGGGTTGGTCGTTCCTTCATCACGAACGCGAGCAACGTCTCGCGAACGCGAATGCCAGTTGGGCGTAACCATCGCGAACACGAACAACGTCTCGCGAAGGACAGTCGGGTGTAACCGTCACGAACGCGAGCTGGGTATTATGAACGTGAAGGCTTGACAGCTAGTACCCTTCGCGAACGCGACAGTGGCCTCGCGAACGCGATGCACACTGTCGCCCAGTGCATAAAACAGAATCAAACACGGGTTTAAGCCATTTCTTTAACACTTTTCAAGAACCAAACGGGTAGAGGCGATTTTCAAGAGCCATAATTTGGTCTGAATCTCGGGTTTTGACCAAGCGGGCCCAAGGTCGATTTTTTGACTTTTAGTGGAAACAAATTGGAAAATTTAATTTATGCAATATAATTGATTCCTTTAGCAATATTTGATATTATTGAGTCATTTTTGAATAGATACGAGTGGTTTGGAGGTGAATTCCAAAGAAAAAGCGGTGATTTAGAATTAAGTGGCTTTCGGAGCGAGGTAAGTGTTGTGTCTAACCCTGACTTGAGGGAATTAGGAATCTTAGATTATTTGCTAAGTGAAATTCATGTGAGTGGCGTATATGTGAGGTGACGAGTACCTATGCGCCGCCAACTTGTTTTTCCATGTTTTCTCTGTTTTTCGTATATTGTCTTTTCCTATGTCAAATTGCTACGTGTTATACTAGTGTTGTTCAAATTGTAGTTCTTATCATGATTACGGAAATGTTCTGATGATAATTGAGTTTTTATTCCAAGTTGAGATTGATAATATGGAACCAAATGTTGAAGTAAGATTTGTATTTGTTATTCTATCTCCCTGTTGTTATTTATGCAATGCATTATGGTAAGGGAGAGTGTTAATGCATGCCACTTCATCTTCAGTTGGACCTTTTTTCCTGAACCATCCAAGACTGAACAATGAAGGGAATTTCAAGAGCAGCCATCTGCCGATACCAGTTTTACCAAAGAGACCAATGAAAACCCCAACTGTAATGAAACGAATAACTCCTAACAGAGATTTCGAAGCTATCTTCACACCAAAGTGCGCTAGCTTTATGGTTGACCAAAAAGCCTCCCTCCTCTCAATCTGTTCAGTGCTTTCTTTAACATCAGGTAAACCACCAGGATTTTCAGCCAAACATGAAAGTGTTCTCCGCACTACAATTGCATCTGTTGACGGTAGCTTTACAGCCCAAACACCAACTTCCTTTAGGTGGTCCGGCAATGGACCTTTAGGAGGACGAGGACCAGGAATCTGAGACTAACAGGAAAATATTAGAGAGTGAGAGAGAGATAAAATGTTTCACAGATCTAATGTGTTATTTAATAGGGAAGGCATGAATGATGTTGTCCCCATAGCTACGTGGTACATACGTATGTCCATGTGCAATGTAAAATTTAGCAAATATTTTTTGGATAAGGTAAATTGTATTAATCAAAAGGGAGAAAAAACTCCCGCATACAAGAAGTATACAAAAAAGTAGAGAATTTACATCAGAACATGATTGTCTACAAATGACGCCCAATCTTCTACACAAGTAGGGGCTATATGTGTGCACCAAAAAACGATCAATGATAAAAGACTATTCTTAAGATGTGAAAATGGAGACTCAATCCCCTCAAAAACTCTCCTATTTCTCTCTCCCCTAGACTAACCACATGAGAGCTAACGGGGCGAACTTCCACGCCTTTTGCTTGCTTCTTCTACGGAAACAAGCACAACTATATAACATTTCCTTTACAGTGTTTGGCATCACCCATTGAACACCAAAAAGATTCTGGATTTCCCTCCACAAACCCTAGGGCACAGGACAATGCAGCATAAGATGATCAACTTCTTCCCCTGAGCTTTTACATATGTAGCACCAACTAACATGTGTAATTCCTCTCTTTCGCAGATTTTCAGATGTCAAGATCACTCCCCTCGCTGCTAGCCATGCAAAGAAGCACACCTTCGTGCGCGCCTTAGGAATCCAGATCGATGAGTATGGAAAAGTAGCCTCTCTCTCATCAACATACTCTGGTAAAAGGACTTTACGGTGAACAAGCCATCTCCACGCAACCCCCATCTCCAAGAATCGTAAGATGGATGGGGCATGTCTTGCCCGTATAGCAGTGCCAATAAATTTTGGAGCTCCGCAATCTCCCAATCTTGCATGTTCCTTCTAAAAGAGAGGTCCCATACTATCCCCCTTCATGCACCTTGCGAATTTGTTGGACCATCAATTCCTTCTGCTATATTTAGCAAATATAGCAGGTATCACATATATAGAGTCCATTTAACAATTAATCTCTATTACATACTCATTCATGTCATATACATCGATCATAAGGTTTATAAATCCCCATCATCTACTCGTCCATGCCACCAGAAATCAACCATAAGGTTTATGAATCCCCATCATTCACATAATTATGCTTATCCATCATAAGGTTTATGAATCCTTACTGTATACTCATCAACATCATCAAATATTGACTACAACATGCGTCCTACAGAAACAGTTAAATTGGGTTCTCAAAGTTCCAAATGTAAAATACATTGTATAACATTCTGCATATGAGGAAAACGACCGTAATGTAATTGACTTTGGATTTTGACTAAAATTCACATGTTTGAACACATAATGACCAATTGACTTCTAAACTGTAAAGGATCAATTGCTTCTTAACCTGCATCATTTCTCTCTTGGAACAAAAGAATAGTGAAGATAGAAAGTTATGCAACGATTTGACATATGTTGTTGTTTCAAGCCTTCCCAGGGCAGAGCATATAATCGTTTCTAGGTCTCTGCATTCAGATCTAATTCCACTAGTTTTTCTCATTATTCATGCAATCTTTTTAAAGGACAAAATCATTTCTCAAATTAGCATCCTCTCTGCAGCCTATGTACCATCACTCCCTGCCACCTAATCGGCCCACCACAAGACTAGATAGTAGTGCTGCATCAAATAGTTGTTGGCTGTGGCAAGTAGACTGATGGAACTACTTGTTGTAAATGTTTATCTGTGTGTGCCTCAATTAGAAGAAAGAAAACAGAAAAGAAAACACGAAGCATGAAACTAGAGATTCTCATGGAAGTAGTCACATTTTAATACCACTTACAAATTACAATCCAGCTGTTTTTGGGTCATAAGAACAGATAACAATCTACAATCCAACTTTATATTAATCCATCGTCCCATGATACAAGATTTAAGTGTCAACTGGTTAAAATCAAAGAGGAATTATTGCCTGCTAAAAGCACACTTCCGGTACATCTGGTTCCATTTCTTTTGATTCATGCTATCTAGTCGACCATTTAAATTTACCTAATATTTTCCCCACAAAGAATGCAGGAGTTGCCAGAAACCGTGAATTATGGCAAGCCAGATCTAAATTTATGATTAACACGTAAATGTTGGTTATATTTTCTCCATATTAGTGTAAGGGCTTCAAAAAGTGGTTCATATAAATCTTGAGCTAGTCCACCCATAGCCTTCAAGGTTTTGTGTTGGATGCTCAAATTCTTTCGCATGGTATCAAGTCAACATTTGATAAATACATTCACATGCTCGTAATCCCGCGTTCTAGTCCACAAAGAGGATGTAACATTATATTTGTCCTACATGAGCAGTGTCCTTTCAAAAATGTTCATAGAAGTCTAGGACTCCTGCAGGCATAGTCTTAAAAGTTTTTTGGGTTGGATGCATAGATTCTTTCCAATCAGCTTCATTAAGAATTTGTAAAGATCTTCATACATATTGATTCACATTTGACCCGAGTGTACCAGTGTTAAGAAGGGTATTACATAAAAGAGACTAGATGTAGAAGGGTAGTTTAGTCTATTTATCTGTAGAGTATTAAGTAATGTCGGTTAGATAAACTAGTTAGAATTAGTTGATGTATATATGTTTGTACTGTCAGTTATAGTAATAACATAATTCATTTTTCCCAATTCTTTCTCTCTCTAAACTCCTAGTGCTCTCTCGTCTCTCTTTATGCTCTCCATTTCCAATTAGGGTTCATTAGAATTGATCCCTTTGATTTCATCATGGTATATAGCCATGAGCTTCAGATTCGAGCTCGTGGATTCAATCTCTATTTTCTGCTTCTAATATCTCATCAATCAGTTCTCTTTCTCATCTCTAGCTCAATCTTTCAATTTCAATGGCGATCGAAGATCTCGACCACGCCTCTGCAGAAACTACTTCAAAGGCATCGTCTGATGATGAATTTGAAGAAGGATTACAGTTGCAGTTACTCTCTCTATCTTGCCCCAGGGGATACCAGTGGCATCCCTCTGGTCTCTTTCTAATTGACAAGCTCCGAAAATTACTTAGTGTGGTATCGCTCTATGCGAATTGCTCTGTTAGGTCGGAACAAGCTCGGAATGGTGGATGGAATGTGGAAGAAGGAGAGATTTTGCAACAAGTACTGGTATCGATGGAAAAGGTGTAATGCAATTTTTCTGTCATGGCTAATGAACTCTGTGGCTCCAAATTTAGTGAGCGGTATTGCTTATGCAACAAATGCACATGCCGTCTGGGAAGATCTTAGAGAAAGGTTCAATAAGGTCAATGATACTCGTTCATTCAATCTACACAAATACATTGCAACCCTAACACAAGGTAACTCATCTATTTCTGTATATTACTCAAAGTTAAAGGACTTATGGGATGAGTTTGATGCCCCAATGCCTTCCCCTGGATGTGATTGTCCAAAATCAAAGGATTTCCTTGTGTTTCTTCAAAGACTGAGAGTATATCAGTTCCTCATGGGGCTTAATGACTCGTATATGCAAGCTAGAAGTCAAATTCTATTAAGGGTTCCCTTACCTAATGTCAACCAAGCGTATGCCGTGCTTATTAGTGATGAAAGCCAAAGGGCTATAGCAGCTACTACAGGTATCCTTGGAGCTACTCCTACTGTGAATATGAATGTCAATAACTTTGAGTCCAGAACCCTATATAGCTCCAGACCTGGCAACAATCAGAAGTTTAAGAAGAATTACAACATACAATATGAATTTTGCAAGATTAAAGGGCATAGTAACGAAAACTGTTACAAGATTGTAGGGTATCCTGCCGACTTCAAGTTCAAAACGAAGAGTGGTTCAGAAGGTAATAATGCCTATAGTGCCTTGGCCGAGTGTGAAAATCAAAGCCCTACTGATAGCACATCCCCACAGATGCCATTTACTGGGAAGAATGAGTGCTCCACAGATGGCATATACTGGACAACACATGAGTGTGATTGGTGCTCCTCAGATGACACAAACTGGCCAGCAGTTGGAAACTCAAGCCAGGTTTTCTAATGCTGCCTCAGCCACTCCATTGGCACCTCTTGCCTCTACCTTCACCAATGAGCAATATGATCAAATTTTACAAATGCTTAACAAAGCTACCTGCTCCTCATCCTCTTCATCTGCAAATGTAGCAGGTATAAGTAGTGCTTGCTTGGCTTCTGTCTCTAGTGAACAACAAACAGAAGAAACAGATACAAATAGTGTCTGCTTGGCTTCTAACTCTAATAGTCAACATGAGTGGATTATTGACACTGGTGCTACAAATCATATGGTGTCTAACATTAACCTACTAGATCAGTCTTCTGTTGTTATACCACTTAAGTCTAAGAAGGTGTTTCTGCCTAATAGTGATGTCACACAAGTTACACATATAGGTGCCAATCCTATTTCTGACAGAAACATACGCAAGAATGTTTTTTATCTCCCAGAGTTTAAGTACAACTTGCTATCAGTCTCTAAGGTGACCAGAGATTTATGTTGTTGTGTGGCATTCTTTCCTGACTTTTGTATCTTCCAGGATCTCTTCAATGGGAGGCTGAGGGAGATTGGTAAGGAAGAGGATGGGCTCTACATTCTACTCAACCAAGCTCCTGGAAAGCCTGTGGCAATATCATTAGCAGCTCAAGCTTGTAATGCAGGGAATAAAGTGGGCATTGCACTTTGGCACAGAAGACTTGGCCATGTCTCCTCTATAGTTCTAAAGAAAATGGTTTCTTGTACTTTATCACATATATCTGCTACTGTCAATAAGTGTAGTTTTTGTCCCTATGCTAAACAGCCTAGACTTCCATTTCCACCTAGTAGCATTAAAAGCATAAGTGCATTTGACATGATTCATGTGGATGTATGGGGCCCCTATAAAACTGCTACATTTGATAGTAATAAATACTTTTTGACAATTGTTGATGACTACACTAGAATGACTTGGCTCTTCATAAAACTCAAGACTGATGTTTGTGTGGCCTTGCAACAGTTTCTAATGTATGTGAGTACTCAGTTCAACAAAATAGTTAAAGTTGTGAGGACTGACAATGGTACAGAATTTGTTAACAGTGTATGTGAGGATATGTTCAAGAAACTAGGAATTGTTCATCAAAGAACCAGTGCATACAGTCTTCAGCAGAATGGAGTTGCTGAGAAAAAGCATAGGCACATTTTAGAGGTAACAAGGGCAATCAGATTTCAGGCCTCTATTCCTCTTTAGTTTTAGGGCCATTGTGTACTTGCAACAATTTATCTCATCAAGATGTCTTCACTTGTCATTGGAGGCAGATCTCCTTATGAGCTGCTGTATAGTAGGAAACCTCAGTTGGAACATTTAAGGGTGTTAGGTTGCCTTTGTTATGCCAAAGTTGTGCAGGAAACTGACAAGCTTCAAACCAGAACAAGGATGGCAGTCCATATGGGGTATTCAGATGTTCAGAAAGGGTATATTCTCTATAACTTGTCCAACCATGTGTTCTTTGTTAATAGAGATGTAGCCTTCAGAGAAGAGGTGTTTCCCTTTCAAACAAGCACCTCCTCTCCTGCACCTGTGTATGTTCCAGATGAGTACTCAAATTCACCCGCTGAGCCTCAAACTAGTCCTACACATAGGTCATCTACTGAATCTTCTAGTGTTGTTCCTAACAATCCCAATCTCAGCATAAATGATACCTCAAATACAGAATCTACTAGTGAGGGAGACTCAACAACTTCAGCTACATCACCTCCAATGGAGACTAATGATGCTGCCACTATCAGAAGATCCACTAGGGAGAAGAATCCTCCTATTTGGTTGAAGGATTTTGTTACCCTTAATGTTCACAAGGATGTTCTATATGCCATATCCAATTATGTGTCCTATGAGAGGCTGACTCCCAAGTATCAAGCTTACATAGCAGCTTTCTCCTCCATTGTGGAGCCTAATACCTATGAAGAAGCCAGTAGAGATCCCAGGTGGATAGAAGCAATGAAATTTGAGATTGCTGCACTTGAAGACAATCATACCTGGGGCATTGTGTCTCTATCAGCTGGTAAACATCCAATTGGTTGCAAATGAATCTACAAAGTTAAATACAAGGCCACAGGAGAGGTTGAAAGATTCAAAGCCCAACTGGTTGCAAAGGGATACAACCAACAGGAGGGTATTGACTATCAGGAGACTTTTTCTCCTGTAGTCAAGATGGTTACAGTTAGAACTGTTTTAGCAATTGCAGCTGCTAAGAAGTGGCACATACATCAAATGGATGTCTACAATGCATTCCTCCAAGGGGATTTGCATGATGAGATTTATATGGACTTACCACAAGGATTTAAGAGCCAGGGGGAGTCAAGACCAGTTTGCAGGCTCATAAAATCCTTGTATGGTCTCAAGTAAGCACCAAGGCAATAGAATGCCAAGTTAACAGAGGCACTACTTAGCTTTGGTTTTCTGCAGAGCCAGCATGACCATTCCTTGTTTGTCCAAAAGACTGAGAGTGGCATCATAGTTGTACTAGTTTATGTTGATGACCTGCTGATAACTGGGACAAAGCTGAGTCTTATTACTAAGACAAAAACAAAACTGCAACAAGCTTTCAAGATGAAGGATCTAGGAGACCTAAAGTACTTTCTTGGCATAGAGATTGCTAGATCAAAGCAGGGCCTGTTGATGCACAAAGGAAATATGCTCTAGAACTTATCTCTGGAGTGGGGTTAGGGGCAGCCAAGCCAGCTGTTACACCTGTTAAAACATATATCAAACTTACCACTAAGGAGTTTGATGATCATGTGGGAACAAATAACAAAGAGCAGGATGAACTACCATCTGATGTAAGAAGTTACCAGTGATTGATAGGAAAACTTCTTTATCTTACAATAACAAGGCCTGACATACCATACAATGTTCAAACATTGAGTCAGTTCTTGCAAAGTCCTAAGAAGTCACATATGGAGGCTGCTTTGAGAGTTGTACGATATGGGAAAACATTAGCCAGGACAAGGTATTCATTCTATTATCAAGATGTAACAAGGACACAGTCACTGCATACTAAGATGCAGACTGGGCAGCCTGCCCTCATACCAGAAAATCTGTTACTGGCTTTCTCATTAGGTTTGGTGACTCTCTAGTATCTTGGAAGTCAAAGAAGCATAGTACAATTTCTAGAAGTTCTGCAGAAGCTGAATATAGAAGTTTAGCATCCTCAGTTGCAGAACTAACATGGCTGTTGGGACTGATCAAAGACATGGGAGTCGAGGTCAAACTGCCTGTAACTGTGCTCTGTGATAGCAAATCAGTATTGCAGATTGCTGCAAATCCTGTGTTTCATGAACGGACCAAGTATATCGATATAGACTACCACTTTATTAGGGAGAAAATTCAAGAAGGATTAGTCAGAACAGAGTATGTGACAACAAGAGATCAACTAGCTGATATTCTGACAAAGAGCTTGAACAAAGTGCAACATGAGTACCTGAATTCCAAGCTAGGTGTTTTTGATATCTTTACACCACCTAGCTTGAGAGGGTGTGTTGAGAAGGGTATTACATAAAAGAGACTATATGTATAAGGGTAGTTTTGTCTATTTAACTGTAGAGTATTAAGTAATGTCGGTTAGATGAATTAGTTAGAATTAGTTGATGTATATATGTTTGTACTGTCAGTTACAGTAATAACAGAATTCATTTTCCTCAATTCTTTCTCTCTCTAAACTCCCAGTGTTCTCTCATCTCTCTTTCTGCTCTCCATTTCCAATTAGGGTTCATCAGAATTGATCCCTTTGATTTCATCAACCAGTCATGTTATGTTGTTGACTAACAAGCTCTTCAATTTTCTATTACTATAATACTTGGAAGTCCCGGGTTGTTATAACTGGATAACTAGCACTGATGACCTCATTACATTGGATGTTTTAGTAAGCAAATGAAATCATAAAATCTTACCACAGGACGGGGCCTCTTGGGCCTGGAGCGCCTGAGCTCCTGCAATTTGTCCGCGTTAGCCACACCAAGCACCGCTGACTCATACGCCGCAAAGTTTCCAACAATTCTCTTGTCCGCTTCCAGACTAAGATAGGCCTCAACCTGATTAGGAACAGCCGGCGGCAGCCACTGTCTCGAATTAAACATCAAGCCCAATTCAGCAGGCACAGAATCAAACCCACAAGCTGAAACAATCAAAGAGCCCATATCCACAGCCTTCTCACGGTACTTCACTTCCATCCTCTCCATAAACTCGGGCTCCCCACATATATCCAAGTAATCCCAGCCCGAATCAGCACAGGCCTCAACGACGGGCTCACCGTACAGACGAAAAGGGCCGCCCATTGGAGAGCCTGGGAAAGTTTGGAACTGTTACGGCCCGCTATAGCTAAGCTTTTTAATGGGGAAGAGGGAACGTTGAGGAATTTGAGAGCTTCTCTAATGACGTATTTGCCTGTAAAACCTGAGGCACCTAAGATTATCACGTCGTAAGTTGGGTTTGGATTGAGATTTTGAGACATTTATAGATCAGAAATCAAATATTAGTTGGATAGTGTGATTCGTTTTCGTCTCTGGGTTGCTAATCACTGGAGAGATAGAGAGTGAACTTTGAGACGAATAGAGAGGGGACTAGAAATGCGTGCCTCAACTGCCATGATCCCGTGATTGTCTCTCCCGGGAATGGCAGAATCCAGCGACCTGGGTTCGACTCCCTTAGGACCTTCCTATTTATTCTTCTTTTTCCTTTTATTTTTTCCCTCTCTTTGTTCATTGTTCCTTTATCTTTTCCTGTTCATTTTACTCCAAAAAGCGCACTCAAAATGTCATGTCTTTAGAATTGGGATACGTCCAATGTTAACCTATCTGGTCAAACTTTTTAGAATTAATTAAATTCAACAATTTGCTATTTGCAGTGGATTCTTCTCAACTTACTATAAGCAAATCTCTCTATAACAGTGTCATTTGTTTCGATATTTTTTTACTGTTATAATAAAGTGTTATTATAGAGGATATATATTATAACATAATATAAAAATTCTGTCCGAAAAAAGCGTGATTTTTATAGTAAATGATTGTTATATAGAGATGTCCAATTGTATTTCGTTATAAAAATTGATCATCATAACGCACTAACGAACTACACGAGGTAGAGGCGTAGAGCAAACGCGAACTAATCAAAGACCCGTTTGAGCTCTCGCTTTTGCAAAAGATTCAAAAACCTCAACCAAAAAAAATCAAAATTTTATCAGAAAACGAAAATAAAGACGCTTCATTACGGTTTACCTAAGCCTGAAAGAAATTTGTAAAGGAAGAGGTAAGTTTTTTTTTTCCAATAAATAAATGCATAGGTGGATTAGGCAAAAACACAGCGTCGATCGGCCTAGCTTGCAAACTAGCTTTTACTGTCTTTATAAAGAACTCAATGCAACCATAATTAGTTTGCATTTAAAAGAGTAGAAGTCATACAGTATTAGAGAAAATGCTACTATACTTGGGGGCAGGTTTAGAAGACCGCTTATTGATTCACGTGAACTTTGTAATATTTAGCAGAAATTTTCTATATATGTTAAAAAATCTACTAAATATCTATAAGTCGATGTAAGAACTCATAAATTTCAAATTGTGGATCTGTCTCTCGACTATGCTAGTAATGTAAGAAATCATAGTTGGCTTCTTTTTTGTTTGCAGAAAAATCTACACTTCTCTAGCGTCAAGTTTGTATAAATAGGTTATCTAGTCTGGTATTAAATCTATTCTTTGTTCCAAAGGCTCATACTCCTATTATTTTTCCTCAAAACCTACTTTGCTTATCTTAAATTTTCCGCCGCTAAAGAAAATCTAAGAATCGGTTCAAGATCGAAAAAGTCTTGGATCAACTTCAACTTTTTAACTAATGACATCTCAAGGAGAGCGTTCTAAGTCAATCAAATAGCAGCTTGAATGTTTTGGGACTCACGTGTATTTTATTTTTTTGGTTTCTCACGTCAAAGAGAGAGAGTGAGATGTTTGAGGTTGCGTACAAGGCTCTTCTTTGGGAATATTCGATACTAAAAGAAAGTATCAAAAATACAAGTTGCTCTGTTTGCAAGGATAAAATATCAGAATACCTCAAAGAAAAAGAAAAGGACCGAGTAGGACCCAAGGAGAAACATCTTTATTTATTGTAAGAATTTATAACATATGATAATTGTATGCTTCCGAAAAAATAACTTGTACTCTTATGGTTTACTCTTATAAAAATTCAGCAATACTACAATGTTATGGCTCATTTTCACCTACTTTGCTTATTCATTTTTTACAACGTTTTGTAAAATAGTATATGAGTTATTGTTCACCAAAATTTAGACAAACACTAAGAATTGAGATGCAAATTTGTTTTCATGATTAGATCTAACTCTGACAGTTAATCCATCCTTCATTTGGTATAATGGTGGCATTAAACAAGGATATCTCATAGGCTTAGAGTAACTATCTATTTTTATATGAAATAGCTAGTCTTACTATTTTAGTATAAAAATTATTTCGAGATTAACTAATATCTATTATTAAACATGGGATAAATACAATTTAAATTCCTATCTCGAAATTACTATCCTTATTCCTTGTACCAAACAACCCCTTTAGAGTCCAAATTTAACTCAACTCGACTATTAGAGGGACTAGAAAGGTCTTTTTTCATTTGACACACATATTAACTATTGCAATGAAATGATGGGAGGTATGATAATCTTTTAAACCTTTATCATTTTATGTGACTTTATTTGACGAGATAAGAAATTTATCATATTAATTTGACTTATATATTGTATAAGTTGGTAGCAAAAAAAATAAAATAATAGATAGCATGAAAGAAAAAATATTGTACCGGTACAAAAGTTTGATTTATTACAAGTATTTGATTATAGAAACTTGCGAAAGTTACGTAAAATTATGTTATTATAATAATAGCATCATACATTTTGAAACAGCTCGAAATTAAGATAGTGTCATACATGTTGGGAGAGATTGAGTAATATTTATGTCAAATTAAAACAATACTATCAATTGGCACGTGTGCCAGAGTCATCGAGAAAATTCTGATTAATATTATTTAATAAATATTGAGGGCCGTTAGATCATTAAGTGACAAATGTGATGGTTTAGGATACAATTAGTGACATAGATAGGGACCGTTTGCGTCAGTTTCTTAATTAAGAACACGCATGTAATAAACAAGTTGTGGAGAAAAAAAAAAGAATAAGAAGAAGAAAAAATTTGTTTCCTGATTTATAAGAATTTTCTAATTTTGGTTCTTGTGTTTTATGCTTTAGCATATCTATAATCAATTTTGCGATTGACTCTTTACACCAATAGTTTACGTGATTATTTTTTAAAAAGCTAGTTTAAAATTATTAGAACACACAAAAATATTACTCTAGAAATAACAATATAAACGATAGTAGGAGCTTTATAAAATAAAATCTAACCCAAAGAACAAATTTTAGGCATTGGTATATGCTCTAAGTATTTGAATATTTGTTTGATTATGCGGACAATATCCCTCAAACAGTAATTTTCAGTTTTTAGTAGTAGCAAATAAAAACTAATGTATATTACTAGTATAATTCGGGGGGTGGGGGGATTGTTTTTCTTAAACGAGTCACGATTTTATTGCTACTTTTTGAAAGGAGTACTTTTGAAGAAGGGGGTATTACCACACCTTCTTTACATGAAGTGAAAGATGAAAGCTAAGTTGAAGAGTGCATCTGCTATCACTTCCTCACAAAAAGTAATGCAACAAAAAAATGTGGCAATAAAGTTGTTGCTTCAAGGAGGCTCGTAGGTGAGCTTGCTTTGTTTTCTCTTCTTTACTCGAAAAGTAGAAAATTAACATCTATCAGCATTAAGAAGGCACTAATTTGGCGAGGCAGTGTAGCATAGTTGGTATTTATATACACTTCTTCGACCTTGTGACTCAAAGAAGCCATTTTTTAGCAACTCTGTTTGCTTCTCTAAAGAAATGCTTTGTGATAACTCCATGTTGATCCACCAGTATTTTAAGCTGCCTCACTTTATTGGCAATCCTTTAAGGTGTAGGCCAATTTCCATAAATGTAGTTATGTAGTAACAGGGAGTTTGTTTCACCAACGATAAGATTGAGTCCTTTTTGTATGCATCAGTTGATAGCAAAGTGCACATGCTTCTGCCCCGTTACTAGTTCCATGCCCAAGAGGTTTGGCGAAGGCCATGATAAATATGTCCCTACAGTCTCCAATAACTCCTCCCGCACCACATCTATCATTTATACAAGAGCCATCACTGTTTGTATAAGGGTGATTTGACCAATCCCAACCTTTTTTTATAAGGGTCCAAGAGTGGACAAGTTGTCAAACCAGGAGCTGATGTCTCATTTGCCAATATTCCATAAAATATTAGTGTATACCCTATCTTTGATGTCACATATAGATTTTCAACTATAGGATTGACCTTTAGTCCATGACTTAAGGAGAGGATGTATACCTTCAGAATATTTGGCCTTCGTGAATTGAGACCACATAGAATCAGTGGTTCTAAACTTCCACCATTGCTTAGTATGAAAAGCAAAACAAATGTCTTCAAGTCTCCTGAAATTGGCACCCCCTTCCTCATGAGGGAAATAGGGATTGTACCAAGATACCCAATGATGCTTTCCTCCCTCCTCAATACCAGACCAAAAAAATCTAGAGATATACTTTTCAATCATGTCAATAGTGCCTTTGGGGGGATAAATAACATCGAACGTGTGAATATTGAGGGCTAACATAATATGCCTTATGAGAGTGGCTCTACCTCCAAAAGAGAGGAACTTTAGATGTCACCCCCTGATCCTGTTAATAACCTTAGAGACCATGCCAGAGTGGCAGGCTAATTTCTTCCTCCTGGGGTGAGAGGGCACCCAAGATACTTCATAGGGAAATGGTTATACCTCATACCTAGAATTCTACAAATTTTAGTAATGATACTTTGTGCTTTCCCGGGAGACATAGAGAAGAAACATTTATTTTTCTTAATTAGTGGGCCAGAAACCTTCTCATATTGGGTTAAAGTATTCAGTGTGAGCTTTAATGATTACTTCATACTACTGCAGAAGATGATAGTATCATCTGCAAATGAGAGATGGTCGATCTTAAATCCTTGACCATTCATAAAGTAACCTTTGTAACTGTTGTTGGAAAATAGATTATTGAGCATCTGAGACAGGAGTTCAGCACCAATAATAAATAGGGAAGGGGAGAGGGGGTCTCCCTGTCTAAGACCTCTTCCAGATTTAAAGAAGCCATGTTTGCTACCATTTACAGTTAGAGAATGGCAATTGTTAGAAATAAATCTGTAGATTAGATCAATCTACTCCTTTGCAAAGCTCAATTGTGTATTACCCCAATAATTTAAGTGAGAATATATTGGACATTTAAAAAATAATTTAAGTCCAAAGAAAGAAAGAAAAAAAAGGAACTAACTAATAATAAAAAAAAAGAATGGAAACAAAAATGGCCGAAGCCCATTAGAACAAATCTGCCAAAGAATTGAAAAGGGTTGGGGGAAAGGAACGAAGCAAAAACTTCAGCAGGAAAGAAAAACGATAACAGAAGAGGGAAAGAAAAGAGAAAATAAGGAGGAGGAAGTCGATGCAGTTGAGAAATCTTAAGCACTAATCGATTCTACGAGTAATACCTAAGCTTCTTCTTCAGATAGATTTTAATTTCATTTCCCATGAATGAAATATTCTACAGAGTAATAGAATTTTCACTAGTTCATTCACATAATTGAGAATTATCTTTCTGAAGAATCCAATGAACTTTATGAAATTGGATTAATAAATTATATGAATAGGTTGAAGTTGATAGATTAGTAATTACTCA